TAGCAAGAGAGTCTGCTTGCTCATTAAGATAGTTGTCTGAATGAGCCTGTACTTTGTGAAAAGTAATTTGTAATTTGATTGTAGTTAATAGTATTTATAAATTTTAATCTAATGTTAATAGCAATTTGAATCAGCTATGTACTGTAGTTGCTTTTGGTAATAAATTGGCTTTAATGTTTGTCCAAGTGACTATTATCACATTAATATTTAGTCCAATTAGAATATAGTATAGTGTTATGTACAAAAATGTTTTTCTGATTCTATCAGGTCTATTAACAAATATACACTTGTTATTGTTATGTCTATTAACTGTTGCTATAATTTTGTCAATAATACATTTTTGTTCATTATTAAGCATAAAGTACATCCTTTCACTATTTATTTTTTTTTTGATCTGTATTAGTTAAATTTTCATTGTTAGGTACATTAATAGCTATAGGATATAGGATTAGAAAATCTTTTTCAAGAGATTTATAGAATTGAGATAAAGTTTTATTGATGTCTTTGTAAGTGAGAAGTAATGCAGTTTCATTGTTGTGATTATGGGCAAAATCATCATAAAAATATTCTTTATATCAGTTTCAAAATAATAATGAGTTACTAATATAATTCCATATTAATATCATTGCAAACAATAGCCTTAGTTCTCTTGGCATTTGCCAATAAATCATCTCATTTAAACATCTATCTTATTTATTATCATCACTTAATAGTTCTTTTGCCAAAGCAGTTTCTTGAAAAGAATTATATACATAACCATTAACAGTTTTAAGATCTTTGAAACCTAGAGCACCAGGTGTGTATAATAGTAATAATTGAAGACAAAAGCATTTTATATCTGAAGAAAAAACTGAATACATTCTACTAATAATTTTTTTATTAGATTTTACTTGTTTTTCTATACTTTTTTTTGTTTATTAAAAGTATAATACAGTGGAATATTATAATATAGAATCATTTTTGCATTAGAATCTTCTTTATTTAGATCAAACTATACTGTTAACATTGTAGTTTGATTGAGTGCATTATGAAGGATTTCTAATTCATTTTTGCAGTAAAGTAAACATTATGTTTTTGGAATAAATATATAAGTAATCTAATAATAGTATGTGATTTTTCTTGCATTTTATATTTACTTAATCTCAAAAATACTTTAGGTATGCTAATATAGTAAGAGTTGATGTAAGCTGAAATTTTATCAAGATTAAGTACTTGCATGTTGTTATTTCTGATAGTTTTTAGTTTTAATCTTGCACAATCGTAATCTTTAAAAATATATTTATATAGATACTTGAAACTTTTTACAGTAGAACAAATTTCAATATTTATATGAGCTTGATATTTTAAAAATAAGTATGAATTATGTGATATAATTTATTAATAATCAATTTCATATTTTTCAACTAACATTTTTTTGTCAGTGTTTCTTCTTTGGTATTTTGGAAATTCATTTTTATCTACAATCATCTCAGAACAGAATTCTTTAGTATAGTTTTTAGTATATGCATATTTACTTTTTTTATTTATACACAGAGTTTTATAGTTTAAATATTTGCATGGACCATAAACTATTGTTTTTGTAATTATTTCATACAATTATGGATTTTTAATAGGGTTTGGTATTTTACAATTTACCATCTGATTAATAATATCTGGATTATGTAATTTGTCTTTATTAGCTAAAATTAATAGCATATGACAATGCAGTAATTTGCATTTTTGAAATTTAATTATTCTCACATATGCAACCACTTTTCCAAAGATATCTTTTTTTATTAAATCATTTAATAACATGTCTAACTTAAGTTTAAACACTTTAGATACAATATCAGGCCTGTCTGCAGTGATTTGTCTAAAATATAAGGATTGAGAAATTTCTTTCCAAGCTGAATTACAAATAATAGTTAGAAAAATATCTGGTTTGTCATATGTTTAACATATAGCCATCACATCTTGATAATTTTGTTGCATTGTTCTTGGACTTTTAGAAAAACTTGATGACAAAACAATAGAATGTCCTAGAACTACATTTCATTCTTCTGCTGCTATAACCAAATAATCAGATAATCTGCTATAAGTTTCAGTTTGTAGAGTTGTTTAATTTTGTCATTGATAGCTTAGTTATGTTTTTTCAACCTTTATATATGCATCAACTAAATACTGTTGAAAAAAAGATTTAGCATAAAGGATAGAATTAAAAGCATTGTTTGTGTTATTTTATAACAATAAAATTGTAGCATAGATATATTTTTTTGTTTTGTTTGAATTTGCTTGCAATTTGACATGTGGGAATGCTAGCCTATATTTCTTCTTGAAAATAATAATGGATATGATATTGGATTACAATATTTATTAATTACTGAAATTGTTGTAAGTTGATCACTGTATGAACATATTGCAAAACAATAAGAAGGAAAATTTTTATTTTCTGGGCCAAGTAGTACTGCAGCAACTTTATTGACTCTTGGTATATTGTAACGATGTTGATTTAGACAAAGATTATTATTAAAAATCATTTGCAATTCTAATGAAGAACAGTTTTGTTGTATTGCAATATTATTTTCTTCTTTATATGCATCTTTCATTATTCTAAATATATGCGTATAAGAACTTATCTCTCAAAGTATTGAATTTAATAATGAAAGTAATATGAAATTAATTGTATATTTAATAGATTATTATTTGAATATTTTTGAGCTTCACTTATATTTAAAAAATAAAATTGACCAAAAATTGGTATATCATCTGTATTTGATTGTGCAGGACCAAGAAAATGATATATTTGTCCTGATATCTTATATATATATAGTCCATAGCCAGAAAATAATTGAATATTTGATATAACAGAAGCAAATGCCATAGCATTATTATAATTACAAATATTTTTATAAAAAGTTTGTAACTGAGGATGATTATTAAGAAATAGAGATTTTAATTTATCTGGAAATAGTAAAACTGATAATAATATGATAGAACCTTTATGATAGTAAGAAGTAAATTGGTACAAGTTTTCAGCAGTTCATTCTCCTGAAAAATAAAATGCTCCACAATTACGATATAGAATTTCTATTTGCTCAACATCAACCTCTATAAAAAAATCATTTGAGAAATTTAATGCTTCTTGATAGTGTTTTAATGATAATATTTGATTTTTTTTTTAGTTAAGTGATTTTTAAGTCTAGCATTAGTTTTCTGTATCCTTACTGAGTTTGCATTAGGACCTTGTTTCCTACATCACTGACAAAGAGCTTGTGTGACTTTCATTGCTAGGATTGATACTAACTACTAAGTAACTTATTTTTATTTTATTTTTTAGGAGCATTTTATTTATAACCCTATTTGTTGATTTTCATCATATTTACAAAATTCACAATTATTCGAACTTGATAACATTTAACCGATTTCAATTCAGCAATAAATTGAAAACATATATAATCAAATTTTTTATATTTTTAATCACAATATAGAATACACAGAGTTATGTTATACTTTTTCACCAGTGATGTTACAAAAATTCTACAATTACCTGACCAATCGAAAATCACTATTTATTTAATGCAGAAATATAAAACGAATAGTTTAAAAAAAAAAACTTTTTTTAAAAAATTTACACACGAAATTCTCTTTTAATCCTAACAAAAAATTCTATTGAGTAATTTTTACCACATGTAGTACCAACGTCTGACTTTGATATAAATACAAGTCACTGTTATTATACATTAAACGCTTACAGTAACATTTTTATATAATAATTTTAAAAGAATACATCAGTATATAAAGATTTTACAACGATATCATTATGTCTAGATGACCTAGACTTTGTATAACCAGAGCGAAGTGTACCAAACTCAATATAAATATAAATATAAACAATTTTAGAACATCAGACGGGTGAAAGTTTTCTTCACACGAATATTCACCTAATTATGACGATAAACAATAAATAATTCATGTTGGAATTCGTTGATTGGTCAATCGCGTGATGGACAGTTGCGTTTTAATTATATGGATAGATGCGAGCTTATTACATTCTACATAATTATGTAATTAGAAATTGCGTATAGAGCTTTGTCGTCTATATGCAACTTGATATTTCCTAATTTGCATATAGGACTTCTCTATCTATGTATAGCAGGCTATATCTGCAAACTACGTTTCTGGTATACATTTTGGATATAACTCGACTATCAAATCAGCATGGTGGGCTTTGATTTTGATTGGATGATTGAATGGTTGATCGAATGGTTTCGTAGAAGACAAAATATACTGTCGTCCATTGAACTATACAAAGTTATACTGGTAGCTGGAAACTTTTTTGCTTAAGCTAAATAATATTGAAGTTACAAAATATCATTATAAAATACAGTATATAGTTTATATTTTTATAATAAAAATTATTGA